CGATTTTATCATTACAGATTTCTTCATCATTAGTGGCATTACAGCTCGTCATGAGCCAAAACCTTCCTCAGAACAATCTTCCATTCGTCCTTGTCTCTGGCAACTCTTCTCCATGCTTTAACTCCGATGTATTTTAGATCATCATCTATGTTATCTTGATACCTAAGTTTTGGTCTTCCTCTGGATCGTCTTCCCACTGGTCCTCTTCGGTCGAAAATTTTTCTGATCGTTGCATCTTCATCTCGCCTAATTACATGTCCTATCCATCGAAGGCGTGCTAATTTAATACATTTTACAACGTCAGATTCCCCAAAACTTCTGTATAACTCAAAGCTGTAGCGCCTACGCCACAAACCCTGTTCTTGGACTCCTCCATATATTTTCTTTAGAATTTTTCTCTAGAAACGTTTAAGCAGTTCTTGGTCGTTCTGTGTAAGTGACCACGTTTCTGACCCGGCCTTATTAGTGTTTTATATATGGTAATTTTAATTTTTCTAAGTAGTTTTGGGGCCATCTGTTTTCTTAAGCCATAATAGCACTTATTGGCAAGCACTATTCTTCTGTTAATTTCTTCGCTGACATTGTTGTCTTTGGTCAGTAGCGAGCCCAGGTAGACGAAGGTGTCCACACCTTCCAGTTCCAGATCATCAATTAATAGTCTAGGTATCTGGTTGCCTGATCTAGTACAATACATATACTTGGTTTTCTGTGCGTTTATTTTTAATCCCATTCTCAGTGCAGACGTCCTTAATTACAGATTTAGTAGATCGATATAGTGCTTCAGTAAATCAGTATATTTAGTAGACCTACTGAAAAATCAGTAGACCTGGTAACCCTGTGAGAAGTAGTAATGGACAACGTACAGGTACCAGAATATGGCGGTCACATCGAAACTGGACTCACTTTGCGAAGGTTTCTTAAATGAGCGTTACCTGTTTTCTCTCTTTCATTGTCTAAGGTAAAACGTGTCACAAGGACATTCATAGTTTATTGACATCCACCTACTTGTGTATTTGACCTCTTCTCCGCGACGATGAGCTGGCCAAATACCCAAGTAGTTGGAGGCCAATAAACTAAAGAAGAAGAAGAGGTAGTTTCAGAACCAATCATCAAAATTGTTGCTTACTTCCATCGATATAATATACAAAGGATGAAACCAATGACGTATAATATATAGACTAAGCAGTCCCCTATTCTCGCTATATAATCGGGTGTCCGAAAGATCTCCGCTCAAGGTTGAAGGTATGTTTACCAGAACAGCGGCGTGCTCATTTATATGTTATTGACAATAATTATTTTTTTAATTAAAATTAAATATTTATGATTTCTTTTAGTTCCCGTCTATAAGAGAAATAATTATTTTGATAAAATAGTATGGCATTTTACTAAAATAGTAAATAACTCAATTTCACTAACAATTTAAAATAAAATTTGCTTGTCACATAAAATATGTAAACACACAAAATGACGAAAATGTTTTCATTCGTCCATGATTTTTTCAAACACAAGATCAACTTCGTGATGCTTCGTAAGAAATCATGAACTTCGTGCATCTTCGTATCAAAACAATAACAAAGGTATTTATGTTGTGGACACTTTTTAAAGCGTTCACCGGGTCTATACCGGGTGGTGAATCGTCAAACGGGCTATAGGAAACTCAATGGGAAATTTTAAATTGTTGAATTTAATCTAATTATTTTAGATCAAAAGTCATAAAAAACTATTTGTAGAGGACTAAAATCTGAATTAAAAACAAATGTTAAAACCGTTCTACGAATGAAATGTACTTTAAAATTTTGCAAAAATGTAATAGATTTTTCAGACCACCCCCAAAAGTTAGGCCACACGTACTACAAGAATATATAACGTGTGTGTTTTATCATATTGATGTCAGATGTTTGACAATTTGAATTGTCAATTTTTTTATTTTATGATTAAACTATAAACAATGAATTTTACTAAATACTACTACTACTGAACAATATTACTTTGTGAACAAATAAATTATATTGTTTACAAATCGATCAATATAATAAAATGTACTCAGTTGACGAAAAATCGCATAATGTTGTATTCAGGTAATAGCGCGAACCTTTTCCTGTCACTACCGGATCTTTATTTAAGATATTCTAATACACTAAAATTTAATTCCATGTTAAGTTAAGTTATACAACAATTCAATGAATTCCAATATACTGTTACTGTGATCTTTATTCCTAATAATAATATAATGATAATTTCTAAACATAAAACTATAACAAATGTTATAATAAAACATGAATAAAACATTTTTATTATTGCTCTTTTCTCCTTAACTGAGTACATTTTTTAATCAACTTAATTTTTCTTTTAAATAATAAATCACAAAATTTTGGCCATTTAAATCATAGATAAATATAATATAGTTGATTTAAATATTGTCAAATATTAGAAACGTCAATATGACAAAACGCAACACGTAATACACATTTTTTTCACGGCGTCTGGCCTGACTTTTAGGGGTGGCCTGAAAAATGTATTATATTTTAGCAAAATTTTGGAATACGTTTAAGTCATAGAACAATTTTAACAATTGTTTTCGATACATATTTGAGTCCTCTACAAATAAATTCTCATGACTTTTGGTGTAAAATAATTAGGGAAGCAGGAATTCAACAATTTAGAATTTTCCATTGAGTTTCCTATGGCCCGTTTGACGATTCACCACCCTGTATATTATACGTCATTGGATGAAACCCATGATACTATGACTAACAAGATAGGATCTTCTCGTAGCACAAAATCGATCGTGTTCGCGCATGCGATCGAGATAAGTACAAGAAATTAGTTTTTATGTTGTCTTACCAATAAAAGCAATAACTAATCTGAAAATATTTAATTTAAGGTGAAAATAAAAAACTAAGTGGTGGTATGTTTAGAATCGATATAAACAAAAAAAAAATTGTGTGACGTCACATTAATGTGGCGTACAAAGTTTGGTTCTTTTTGTTTAAATCATTTTTTCATAAGAAATTATCACAGTGTATATGAAGAAATTTAAAAAATATAAACATATATATTTCTTTAGGAGCATCTTTACTTCGAGAAATGCTTCTTACAAAATACATTCTATAACCTAACCAATAATTACGTAATCTGTTTAAACCATCGAGCAAAAAGACAAAAGAGGGAATGTAAAGGTAGTGGGGGCAAAAATATTGTTAGACAGGAAGTGCCATCTTAAGAGGCCACATTAAACAAGGAAAGCGAGTCTTTCTTTGTTTAAGAAATCAAATTTAGTTGGGTTATGTTATTGTTGTTTGTCCCAACTGTCACATGAAATCTTATTTATATTGAAGTTTTTTAATAATTCGCATTTCCGGATATGTCCGCCATCAGAGGCCACTTTTTTGGTCTCCTTTTCATAACGATTAGATTCCCTCTTTTGTCTTTTTGCTCGATGGTTTAAACTGAAAATCAGTAAGCAAATATTTTTGACATGTAATTTTTACAAATAAACACTATATTGGATATGCCAAAAATGTTGGATATTTTAATACTTAATTTACTCTTTTTTACAGATCATATATGTGCTCTATTTCGTTTCCCATGTTTAAAAGGGATCTGTAAGACAGAAGTTCCAGAAGTAGATGATTTGGTCGATAGATGCATTTTCCTATCCCTACGTGTTGTTTATGTAAACTTTTTTATTCTCCAGATTAATTTCGACCAATGTCTCCCAATGGAAACTTGATAAACATTTTCTTTAATTTCAGCTAGTTATGCTCTTAGACATAAATGCAACCTTAAACGTACAGTAAAACATTGAAACCAACTAACTATATATGAATACTGATCTATTTAACGTTGGGAATTTGGCGGCTAAAAAGCATTGGGATATAGTTCGCTCGAGGAACGACAGTTTATCTAATCCGAATATTCACACGATTCGATTGGTTAGGGACTAACCAATGAAATATCAGTAGGTACATAAATATGCTTTCTAAATATATTTAGATGATTCAATATGTTAATTCTCTATGGCGATATATAGTTACACATATTTGTAAGAAATGGAGTGTACTGAAAAAATGTTGTGGGAAGAACCATAGCTGGAAATATTGCGATGAAACAAATAGCCTAATTTTAGATTGATCTAGATAGCAGGTTTTATGATAAAATACATACATTTTTTCTCTTTTTAATGACTCATTAATCACCAAAAAGTTAAGTTAGTAGGTTTACACTTTTCAACGACGATAATATCTATTTACTGGAGTTAAAGCATGGGGAGAAGTCGCCAGAGACAGGGTCAAATGATATGTTCTAAAGAGGACTTTAATTTTTAATGAGCTATAATGGCACTGCTGATGATGATTGAAACTTTTGAATATCGAAAATTTATTCCCATAGCTGGGTGGAAAATGTATTATGCTAAAAGAAGATGAATTTCCAAAAGAATATTTTCTCCATAAATTTCTATTGCGTATGATTCCTAGAAATTGTGAAGGGTATTTTGAATGACGGTATCTGTATACACAAATAATGGAAGTTTTTACACCCTGATGATCTTTGTTGAAAACAAAATATTCACGAAAACGTAACTTAAATACAACTATGTTATTACTTTCATATATTTTTTATTTTGGCAAGTCTTGAAGATGCATGAGATCTTTAAGTTATTCATATTTCTGGCTATCCAAATACCTGAATTAACATTAAAATTTCAGAGATTATAAAAAATGGGTTAATATTTTATAGCTATAATACTCTTACTTTACTACAGGTAATATGTATTAGTGCATGGCAAAAATATATAAAAAACAACTAACCACTACTATGGCAGTTACACACATTATAAAATATAAGTCTTACAACATATGACAGCACCCTAAAAACAGGACATTTTATATATTCACGTTTCAATAGACATAAATGACATACCAGACAAAAAACTACAATTCACTTGAGTCATATTTAACAAATATTAAACTAATAATATGGACAAAATTTACAAGGCGTTTAAACATCAATTCTTAAATATCATTGTAAGTTTACACTGTAATATTTTACTTTACTGTAATTACTGTAATTTTACTTTACTAAAATATTTATTAAAAATATAGGTATATCTAATTTATACAGTAATAAACCTTTCACGGGCAAGGCAATTATGGCCGTCGAAAAATGTTCGTCGCAGTGAGTCAAGACTGTCAGAGCCAACACTGTTATTAATCACATAATCTGTTCTATAACCCTGTGACACCCATGAAACTTTAATGTATAAGAGAATGATTTTCCTAAACAAATAAATGTAGATTAGTTTTTCTCAGAATAGTTCCAGTGGGCGTGTTTCAACTTTTTGTTCGGGTTCGTTGATTAACTGCTTAATATTCCCAATACTAAAATACGGATGTAAATCTTAGATCCTACGACAAGCGAAAAAAAGATAGACCCCATTGAAATGTTCTTTTAGAGAACAATGTTACGAATTCCGCGGACCGACCACAGGACAAAAATTTTCAACGTCAAATGAGCTAAAACTCAACAAGCGGATATCCAGCAAAATCCATCTCCAACAATGAAAATACTTTGGACATATTATGAGAGCAGACACAGAAAACATGGAAAGACTTATCCAAGGGAAGGTGGAAGGCCGAAGATCACGAAGAAGATCTCCAACAAGTTGGAGATCTCCGATTTGATGGATAGATAAAAAAAAAGACAAATATGATGGCTACTTCATCTATTTATTGAAAACGTTTCGCTATCCAATTTGATAGCATCCTCAGTTCATCTAAAAAGAACAATATGAAAAACCTAACATCCATAGAAAGTTATTAAGTGTGTTACCTCAAAAAGATATGTAGCAGTCAATGATATAAAAATTGTAAAGAAGCTTACGACAATGGACATTGTAAAGTTATGTTGCATAAACAATAAATTGAACTAAATATAGTTAACAATTTTCATAAACTTAACACAGCAAAAGATATGTGATACTTATACAAGTATATAAAAAATTATGTAAATTTTTTTTTACATTAAAAAAACAATTAATGTGTAGAAAAACTAAGAGATCAAAGATGCACTTCCAACAGTAAATCAATAATTAAGATTTTATTTTGACTTTAGGTAGCATTATTGTAATGATTAATTAAGAATTTTAGTAATTTAAAAGTATAATGAAGTTACCACTCTGAGTTTCTCGACTGCTGTCGTTGAAATGATGGTAAAACAGGTGTTATAGCGCCACAACGTGAAAAGACAGATGCCTTGAGGTCAACGCGTGACAGAACAGCAAAGCGTATTAATACCTACTCTAATACAATAGAGCGGTTTATTTGAAAAATATGATAAATTTGGTCGACTACCTGCTTGTATAAACCAAAAAATGAAAGGAAAGGGTGGTTGAGAACCCCATTTCCCCCCAGTGATCGGTTGTGACGAACAAAGAGCAAACAAAAGAGGTCAATCAAAAAAATTTTTGAATAACGTATTATCACACGAAAACCCTCATTATCATGGACTACAACTATAAGTGAGTGTTGGACGCGTTTACTATTTTCCTCCACTGTTGCCGGTCTTGTGGAGATGTCTCCCATTGTTGAGAAGTCTTTCATCATCGATCTTCGTACAGGTCCCGCCCATCTTAGAAAAACTGAATAAGATAGATGGGAATGCACGAAAAGCACCAAATTTTATTCAAAGAAAGATGAGGTTAAAACACCTATTGCCTATGATTGTTTACAAAGGCTATTGAAAATTGAAAACACCCGATTAAGTTTATCGAAAAGATAAGAATCTTAACAAAACGTGGCTTTCACCAGTACGAAATATAAAAACTATTCCCAAGTGTATCGAACATTCTAATATTGTTCACAAGTAAAACGAATTTCCTGTAGTTGGCTGTATACTATAAACATCAAATATTTTATTTAAAAAATATTTTATAAAAGGTATAATGTTATAAAAGAACCCTTTCGGGTAACATCACACCACAGAACGATTTCGAAATGACTATTCCATCATCAGTGTTTATCTAGGTCTACATGTTGTAAGCCTCTCAATATCTAGGTAAAAACACTTTAAATATAGTTAAATTAATTTTAAGTTATATTGTTGCTGTTTTTGCTAATTTTATTTAAAAGGTTTTTACCAAGATATTTAGTGGCTTCAAACATGTAAATCTAGATAAACAATGACGATGAGGAAGGTCATCAGCGATTGTTCATACCGAAAGTAGATTATATCTATGCTATGAATGTTTGAAATAATTCGTTGGTTATGTCTGTCTAAGCAATCATTTGCTCTGTACTGACTGACGTTCTCATCCCCCAACGACGAAAATCTCATTGGTGGTCCAGAACGGATGTCCGTGAAAGAGTTAAATATAAAACTAAAAAGATAATTTGACAAAGGTCATATTTAATAAAGATGGTCATTTATGGCTAATGAAGATATATGACGTAGGAAACCTAGTTTGATCAGGCGGCAACGGTAAATTGTGTCGATAAATTTTAGTATCAAACGTTTTGGTTCGTTATATATATCAAGTACAAAATATTGCTTGGTTTTGTAGTGTTAAACAAATAAAAACACGTGTAATTCAAAACAAGGTAAACGTTTTTTAACTTTAAGGCAACCATTTGACACTAAAATATTTTAAGACGGCATTGCAGGAAATACATCAATTGTTACAACGACATAAAGTAAAAACACCAGGAGCAACTGCTTATATATAATCTGATTTGAGCCCTAAATGCCTATGATCTGCCAAGTTTTTTGTAACAATTTAAGGGTATACATATATGGTGTTTTTCTCCAAATCGAATTATAACTTTTTTTAATCCATGTCAATGTTATCCTTGGGATCAAGATGGAGCCCCATAGGTCCCAGCATATTACTAGACGGTCCCGCATCCCCCAACTGACTTTTGTAACTCTCTAAAATGTATTTTAAGGCATTAACGTTAATATCAACCGGCTTGAAATTTTCTATATCTTCGAAATTGTCTCCGTTCTTCTTCTCAAAACTTTTCCCAATAGTCGTTCCTTCCAATTCGCGATCCATTTCTTCCATATATTTTTGCAGCTTATTTTTATCTTTTGCGTTTTCGTAACTTTGATCTTTGACATAGTTATCTTCTTCATATTCACTCATTTCCGAATCAGATTCCAAGTCCCAAGAATCATCCTCGGGTATGGAGAAATTTAGGATGTTTTGTAATGCACAAGTAAAAGAATTTGGGTCAAAGTTTATTTTGTTGTTAGATGTTGTTTCTTCTGTTTTAGCTTCAGATGAAAAAGACACCTTCGACTTATTTTTGCGCCTTGGAGGCCTAATAGGAGATTCGTTTTCATTGGGAAACTCTGCACCATCCACATCAGAAATGTGGTTTAAGAAACTGTTTATCTTTTCTGTAAAACTAGACGCGTCTGAATTATTATTAACATTGAATATTTTTTTCTGTCCATATTTTTCTTGAAGCATCTTGTCGAGTTCATCGGGACTAATATTCAGCCAAGAATCGTCGTCATCTACTAGATTCGTCTCTTCTTCGACTTCTATATCGATATTTCTACTTAAATCTAAAATTTCTTGACCTATTGACGAATTTTGATGCATAGAATCTCTATGATCAACATAATACTCCTTGGCTTTGTTTAGTAAATTATTATAACCTAAAGAATGTTCTAAATAATCTTTAAAATACCCTTTATCTTTCAGACTTTTTAGGTAATTCTGCCAGCCTCTATCAGATTCAACGTCAGTACTTGGCTTAGCTTGGGAAGCTAAAATTTCAAAGCCACAAGCTAGTTTAACTCCTAAAATATTAGACTGGTATTCTTTGGAATTGGAAGGAGGTAGATTCCATCCGGTTCTTCTGTCAGGAAGATACTTACTATGGGTTAACATGGCATAGAGACATTTAGTGAAAGTAACCCTTTGCTTAACTCTATTTTCAGGTGGAAAATACTTCATAGCTCTACAGGCTTTAAGGTCAACTGAGTCTCTATTACAAAACACTTGAACGGCGGCTGAGATCAGGTTGGGTTTCGCTTTTAAAGCTTTTGCTACTCCTATTGGTATATAAACTACTGCGTTATGAATATTGTCTTTCAATTTATCGGGATAACCATCGAGTTTTGTTTTAATGGCATTCTGGATTTCTGTTGATGCAACTGTCGATGTGGGATTTTCTCTTACTGATGACACAGCTTCGTTTATTGTAATTGTGGTTGAAGTTGAATCATGAGGAATTAAGTGGATATTGCCATCGTACATATAGACCTGAAACATAATAGGTCTTGTTAAATAAAGCTTAGGCATCTAGTATTCTAAATAGGATTTTTTAAAAAGAACAATTGAATATTTATCTTTTTCTGCCTGTTATAAGAGGTAAAAGGCGATTTAAAAAGATACCAACATTAAACATAACAGTTTTGAAAAAATGGATGATATAGTATGCAAAATGTATGTTTAAAATACACAAGTGATGCCTCAAAGAACTGAACCTCTTGACTCAGTGTTTCAACTTGTGGGGGAACATGGATATTGAAAAAAGTCGAAGAGAACTAAAAGTTTTATCAGCAATTATAGAAGTTGTATGATAAAAATTTGTACATACCTAATATTGGTAATAAAAATAACAGCCTTATAACCCAAACAGGATCTGTTTAGGGTTGATTTAGATTTTTGTAGAAGTATTTCTGGAAAGTTGTGTATAGCTACAATTTGAATATGCTGCAGCTAAACAGGTTGTGGAAGAGCCACAATAGACCTTTTAGGTCGAATAAAAGAGTGACTAAGCGTCCACTCATATTGAACCTAACCTAAGATAAGGTTGCGGAAAATTTAGGAAAGATTTTAAAATGAACAATTTACATTATAAACCCATTTTCAAACTTTTATCCTGAATATCTCAGAAGATTAGGTTGACGAAACTTGCAACAGTGGACTTGACAAAGCACACAATTACACAAAGTCCCAATCTCGGCACAGTCCCGATATAGCACTCTGCTGCTTTTCTCGTGTTTCCAAAACTGAAAATGCTGATGAAAGAACTGAAAAACTTACAAAAACTAAATATAAGAACCGCTACAGAAACATAAAAAAAGGGAGCCTGCTGTTAAGTCGAATGGAGATTACTTCGAATGATACCACAAGATGGGTCACGAAAAATAAAGTATTATGGACTTATGAACGAACGTCAGAGTTTTTTGGAACATACCACTTCTCAAGTCAGTATGCTTTTTAAAATCTGTTGTTTATACATTATCATTCACTAATAAAAAGGATCTATGTAGTTTACAAATGCTTCCTTTCTCCATTCTTAACTAGTAAAGTCACCACTATACCAAACAGTAAGTTTCAGAATTTCATATTGCATTTGGTTTAATTATTTTTTATTTTGTCTTATACCTGTCTTTATACGCCACTATTCTACAAGTTCTAATCTTCTTGTTATTTTTCTAATGCGCGATTTTCTACTATAGCGCGCGACTCTTCTTAAATTCCGAATTCCCATATTTTTTAAAGCATTTTTGATGCACTTTAATCAACATTCTTTACAATGTTTGTGCAGTCCATTTTTAGCGGGCTGCCATTCGGTAGTATTATCGTTATCAATTCTGTACAAGTGATCTAGACTAGAGAATCTATGAGATTAAAAAAAATTGCAATAACTCGTCAAGTTCAAAGTTCATACAGATTCCTTAGATATCGAATGGTGCAAAAAGTTTCGTCAGCACCTTTATTTAGAAAGATTTCGGATCATTTTCATTTTTCTTCAGCAACGTCCATGTTTAATAACCATATGTAACAATAGAACTTATAATTGCAATTTACAAGCTGAAAGACACATAAAATATGAATAAATACCAAAAAGAGATAAAAATTCACAAGACTAGACAATCACAAATAGAGATCTGCATTGGAAGAAAAATGGGAAAAATTTAGGGAAATACTACTAGAAAAGGCAGAGATGTGAAAGGACAAAGTGTAATGGAAAACTAAAGAAACAAACTAGTGGAACAAGGACATTAAAAATTTAGTACAGAAAAAGGAACAAGCATGGAAAACACACATCCAGACTGCAGATCCAAGGGAAAGATGAGAATATAACCCTAGAAGGAAGTGATACAGACAGTAAAGAAACTGAAAAGGGAGATTTGGAAAGGAAATAACTTCTTCTTCTTAAAGTGCCCTCTCCTCAATGGAGGTTGGCTACTACAATTTTAACCTCTTCTCTTTCTTCAGCAGTTCTTATTAGCTGTTCAAAATTTAGCCCTGTCCATTGTCGGATGTTTCTGAGCCACGATAGTCTTTTCCTTCCTAGGCCTCTCTTTCCCTAGATTTTTCCTTTCACTATAAGTTGGGCATATTGGTATTTATTATGTCTCAGTATGTGGCCTAGGTATGATATTTTTCTAATTTTTACTGTGTTAAAAAGTTTTCTTTCCTTGCCTATTCTATGCAGCACTTCTTTGTTTGAGGTATGCGATGTCCATGAAATTTTGAGTATTCTCCGGTAGATCCACATTTCAAAGGCCTCCAATTTATTTACGGTTGATGTTTTAAGGGTCCACGTTTCAACTGCATATAGAAGAGTCGACCAGACCTAGCATTTTGATAAACGTAGTCGAGAATCTCAAAGCAGTTTTTTTTTATTTTTTAGGAAGATTTTCTGGCCTGTTCTATTCTCGATCTTATTTCTAGATCAGGATTTAGGCTGCTATCGATCCAACATCCCAGGTACTTAAATCTATTGACCTGTTCTAAAATGTGCCCATTTATTGTGCAAGGTTAAAGTACGTTTTGGTTTTTTCGGATTGACATCACTTTGGTTTTTTGTAATGTTTATTTTCATACCAAATTGCACATAGGTCGAGTTGGTCTTGTCGATGAGTCGTTGTAGACCTAAGTCGGAATCCGCAATTAACACAGAAGGAAATTAACCGCAAGGAAATAACAGAAATAGGAATATACAGATGACAATTTAGAAATAGGACAAGAAGTGGAATAAGCAGTATGAACCATTAAAGTAGGAAAAGCTTGCTGAGAAGATGAGTTAGCACAAGAAATGATAAAATGGCTAGGCGAGAAACGAATCGAATGGTTAAGGACTATACTAAAAGAAGTGTGGAGAATAGAGACAATCCCCAAAGTTGGGAAAACAATTTAATAATACCCATACATAAAAAGTGTGGCGCACTGAGTATGGCGCACTTTTAATGTAATGTGAAAGACGCAAACAAAAATAACTGTGGCGACAACTATGACGTGCGTAGGGGCACAGGTAGAAATAAATAGCGAAGAGGACCCAGAATTACAAAGGATGGAGGAATTACGGAAGAAAATGGAGACGGCAGAAAGCACCGAGAAAATAATTGAAGTATTAGAACAAGAATAGCCAGAGGAGGTTTATGATACGGTAACCTTCTGCGAAAAAGGAATTTTGGAGGCACCGTGCGATGTGGAAATCTTGGTAACAGAGGATGCTGCTGACGCAAGTGTGAAGGGGGAATTTTGTGCAAGGTACCCAGACCTCCCCGGATTATATGTGGAAGAAGATGAAAATGGGGAATTGGGACTATGTACCAAATAACTCTAATGTACAGTAGAGGAAAATGGGAGAGGAAGGACATCAAAAAAAATTGTCTGCAAGTTAAAACAAAAGAGAGAAGAAGAACCAATAGCTGTTAAATTTCTGGCAGCAGCCAGGAAGCTATTCAACTGTATTAAACGAATGGATAGAGAAAAGATAGGGATAGCAACACCAGCAGCACTAGGAGTGGAAAAATCAAGAAAGGTGCTAGAGTTGGCAGCAAGAAGAAGGTAACTGCAAATATATATGGTAAAACATGTAAGAACGGCAAATAGTATCTAGAGAAAAGGGATGGTAATCATCACTAAACTGAAAGATAAGCCCTATGCTGAACGTGTAAAAGAGTTAAGGGAAGAGCTAGGAGAGAGATGACGTCGTCATAAACAAGGTTAGACAAACCAGACACGAAGGTGTGGTCCTGGAATTAGATGGAGGCAGGAACATGGCGGAACAAGTCAAGAATTTAGCAGCGTCAAGACTAGGATGCGCAACAAGGATGCCGGCAGAACGTGGAAGAGTAAAGAAGTGAGTAATGCTGGGGACATGGATGGCCTAACCACAGAAAAAGACATCATTGAATCAGTGGAAAAATTTGCTGGTAGGGAGGAAAACTGTAAAGTAGTTGGAAAAATAAGGACACACATGGGAGAAAATAGAATTTGTTATGTGGAGGTGGCGGAACAGAAGACTTCTAGTGGCGGAAAGAATAAAGATCGGGATGGTACAGGTCACGGTGAAGGTAACACAGCCAAGTAAATGGCCACATAGCAAGAGACTGCGAAAGGGGAGTGCTGGAAGTGCAGCATGGAGAACCATGTACAACCTCAGTGTCAAAATAACACAGTAAAGTGCTTCAATTGTGACAAGGCACGCATATTACTATGTCCACTTGGTGTCCCAAATTCAGGCGAATTATCAGAAGAGCGAGAGGTGAAGGTGGAAGAAGGGTAGGAGGTTACTGACTGAGCGATAAAATGGTGAATAAGCGTGAAAGAGAACATGTGTGTTAAGAGTGTTGCAAACTAATGTTAGGACGGCTAGGCTAGCTCACGACCTCGCTGTGGTCTCCACAATCGAAAAAAAATTGATATCCTGATAGAGGCGGAGCCAACCCGCAGTAGAAAATGGTTCGTGGATATATCAAGCGTTGCAGGAGTGCGGATACTTAATAGCAGACTGATGGTATATGGTATTGATAAGCATGAGGTATTTGTGAAGATACACGTCATCATCATCTTTGGCTCGACAATCCTCTGTGGATCTTGGCCTGCTTTAAGATTCGTGGCCATTCTGTTCGGTTGTTGGCAACATGTTGCCATCTTCTGATTTTTAATATTCGTATGTCGGTTTCAACTCCATCTAACCACCTAATTCGCGGTCGGCCTTTGCTTCTTTTTCCTACAGGTGTTCCTGTGGTTAGCTTTTTAGCAATAGTATTTTCTGGCATTCGTATTATGTGTCCAGCCCATCTAAGTCGCTGTGTTTTAATGAACGTTATGACATCTGGCTCATCAAAGAGCTGATACAATTAAAAATTATATCTTCTGCGCCACTGCCCTTGGTCGTTTACAGCTCCAAATATTTTGCGGAGTATTTTACGCTCAAATATTCCCAAAAGTCTTTCGTCTTTCTGCGTTAGAGTCCATGTTTCTGCTCCATATGTGAGGACCGGCCTCAGCAATGTTTTGTATATAATAATTTTAGTTCTTCTTTGAATGTTTCTTGAGTGGAAATGCTTTTTGAGTTCATAGTATGCCCTATTTGTAAGATTTATTCGTCTTTTGATTTCTTCGCTTGTTTTATTGATAGCAGTCAATAGCGACCCAAGGTATGTGAAGTTGTCAACACGTCCAAAGGTATGACTTCCAAAGACTGTTTTTCGTTTCTCATTTGCTATCGGATCCTTTGTAACCAACATGTACTTGGTTTTGTCTTCTTTGATGACTAGACCGACCTGTTTCGCCGCTGTTTCCAATTCTAGGAGATATTCTACGCCCTACTATGTCAATGTAATCAGCATATGCTAAGACTTGTATCGATCTATTGTAAATAGTACCGCCATCCCTAATTCGTGTATCTCGGACTGCCTTTTCTAAGGCTATATTAAATAGGAGGCAAGCCAGAGCATCCCCTTGTCTGAGTCCATCCTTTATCTCAAAGGATCTAGAACTCTCTCCCTGTATTCTAACAGTGGCTTCTAAGTTAGACATTGTCATTCTCGTTAGTCGGATAAGTTTCTCTGGTATACCAAACTCATGCATTGATTGGTATAGCACTGTTCTCTTGACACTGTCGTATGCGGCCTTGAAGTCGACGAATAGGTGATGGGTTTCAATATTGAATTCTAATGTTTTCTCGAGAATCTGTCTTATTGAATGAATCTGGTCAATTTTCTGGAGTGAATCCAGCTTAATATTTACCAACTATGCCCACTGTGTAAACTTGCAGCCTTTCGTAGAGAATATTTGCTTGTATTTGAGAAGATACATGTGGAGGGAGTAAATGTGGTATGCTGCTACATTTCACCGAATTGTACAGCGAAGAATTATGAAAATACACTGGATGAGATTATAACTGAGGTAAGATTATTGGGAACAGAATGTGTAGTGCTGATGGACTTCATTGCCAAAGGAGTGGAGTGGGGTTCTTTGATAAGACACTCGTGGACAAATGCTTATGGAATAGATAGGAACTCTGGACCTGGTTGTCATAAACAATGGTCAGGAACCGCGAGAAAAAGTAGATACTAAGCCGTGCTGCCGGATGACACTGCTACAAAACACTGATATTAACTTGACAGTAAAAATTTGATATCTTCTGACCAGAGTGTCATATTGATAAAAACCAAAATGTAAAGAGTGCAGCATTTGTATGAGATTTTTGCATTTTACCGCAAATAAAGTAAGTTTCTATAAAATGGTTAAACATATAAATAAACGTTGCGCGATTTTTGTCATCTTTTACAATTCCCACGAGATCTATAAAATTTATCACTTCCATTGACCAGACACTACGCAATTTCCATTGTTAGAGCCTAATCTTCAAAACCTATGGCATAACATTTCGATTCTGAGTTTTGTCAACAAATATGAGGTATTTGTACTATGTTTAAAAACTATGAATTTAAATTTACACATTACAAACCATCTTAAATGTTTAAAAATGCTTCTTTTCAATTGCACAGGTTCCTTTTTCGAAACTAGACAATTTCAGCTACAAATTCCAACCAATGCCGTCTTCAAGGAAGTATTTCCTGTGATGAGAGATCGTTTGTAATATAAAAGTTTAAATTTAGTGTTTTTATACATATTTCAAATGACATGTTTGTTGCCAAAACTCAAAATTGAAATTTCATGTTATAGGTTTTGAAGATTATACTCTAACAATGTAATTTTCAACAGCGACTGGTCAATGGAAGTACTATCTTATTGGTGATCTTACCATAATTTTATTGATCTCATGAGAATCATAAAAAAAGGCAAAAATCATGAAATGTTGATTTATTTAACAACTTTATAGAAACTGAGTTCATTTGCATCAAAATGCAAAAATTGCATACAACAGCTACACTCTTCATTTTTAAAAATAACTCTACTCAAAAGATATCGAATTTTTACAGGCAAGTTAATACACATTTTATTTCATGCGGGTAAATAATATTTAAAATTGTCAATTGTTTCAATCGTTGCTTCTGGGAGAATGGTTCATTCTACACAAAGTGTATTTTTGTTCAATATTATCTCAGCTGTTTATTCCTATGACATAGAAATTCTTGGAAAATCTTGGTAAATTAATGTTGTCCATTTTCCCCCTTTCGGGGCTAAGCCTGGAGGTAGGAGTGACAAACATTTTTATCTCTTTTTAAGACTCCAAAATGACATTCTCAGTAAAATTCAGCATCTTTGTATGAATTTTAGATGCCAAATCTCTGCCGATTGGACTAGTATATGGAATAAGATTCAGTGAAATAGCTAAAATAATAACAAGTAAAGGATATATAAAATATACTAGTAGCTTAGAATCATTAATTTTAAGTTAAAAAACAAAATTATTACATTAGTTTTATAACAAAGTTACAAAAAGAAAGTGAAACCTACCCTATTTTCACAAGTTTCTGGTCTAGCCCAATTTGGTAAATATTCAGCTGCTTCAATAAGTAGAAACTCTCCATCAATATCATGAACTCTGGCAATTGATCCAGTCAATTCTTTTGTTAGTTGCCTCAAAAGAAATACCATAAACCACTCATCTTCAATATTGTCTCCATAATGTGATACCCCATAAAGATGTGGAGGCAGTGCTTCTGTATAAAAAGTATATATATATATATTTAGGGAATGTTTCCAAAATAAAAGAAAACATGATGGGATATTATCAAAGCTGCTTTTGCCAAAGGTCTATGCTTAACCAGGACAAAAAGAGATAATAAATAACTTCTATATTATTAGAGAATGAACCACAATTGCCATTCAAAATATTTTATTTTTGATGTTTCAATTTTCTACTTGGAAATCATTTCTTTGTATTGTGTATACTTTATATGAGTAATCTGAGATCAATTGCTGAGATGGGAGTAGAAATGTCAAAAACAAAATATTTTAATGGAAATTGTGGTTTATTCTCAAAAAATATAAGATGTAAAAATAAAACAAAGTAGCTTCAGAACCATATTGAAAGAATTAATGACGTTACATTTACAATACACAGAAGAAAAAAGATATATCACAATTTAATACAATAATTGACACAGCATAAGGAACACCAGTATATCACACTGTTACCAGCAAAACTCCTTTTAAGTAAATTTTACAGGAGAGCAATAAAACATCATTATTAATGATAACAAAGATTTTATCCCATGAATGGTTGCTGAACAATGAGATACAATGCTTACATGGTTTTAAAACCCTCATGTAACCTTCTAGACTTTTAGAAGTTTTAACAAATGCTAATAGAATGACTGTGGTAACAAAAATATTCCATTTTAACTATACAATAATTTTACTGAGAAGCTGTTCTACAAAAATCAGTCAAAATTTTAAGGGATTTTGGTTGTTTGTGAATTCACAGAGGGGAAAGCCTTCCTTGTCCACTATGCTGAGTTAGGTATGGTGGTGTCAAATCCAGTCACGGACCAGATATTGTATATCTTTTTGCAGAATATTTTTCTACAGTTTATTACACTCAAATATGTCACATACCCAGTGATTGACCTTCACTTGGTCTTACTAACTTGACTGGTTTCAACATAACTATATCTGATATTTATTTAAAATTATCAGAATTTTATGTCAATACGGGTCCTGGTCCTGATGGATTGCCTCCCAGCTTTCTCAAGAATTGTTGTTTTATATTATACATACCTTTTTTTCACATATTTAATCTATCCTTAAATAAGGGTGAATTTCCAGAATGCTGGAAAAATAGTTTTTTAACACCTATTTTTAAAGCGGGAGATAATCCATTGGTGAATAATTACAGGCCCATTAGTATCATGTAATACCAAAGATATTTGAATGTTTTATATGTGACTATCTTAAAGCTTCACTTAAAAAACAGCTAGTAGACCAACAATTTGGATTTCAGAATAGCAGATCAACTGAATGTAATCTACTAGTGTTTGTGGACTTCCTGAGGAAGGCCATGGAGAGAGGCTGTAGGGTACATGGACTATATACTGATTTCTCCAAGGCCTTTGATCGGGTCAACTATAATATTTTACTAGTTAAACTTAAAAAAATGGGTGTTGATAGGCCACTTCTTAGATGGCTGAGAACATACTTGATTGACTGAGTTCAGATGGTGTATATCAGGGATTTTGTTTCCAGTGAGATTAAGGTTCATTCAGGAGTACCCCAGGGTTCTCATTTGGGACCCCTGTTATTTAATATATTCGTTAATGATATACACCACTGCTTTCAGCACAGTTCACCTCTTCTTTTTGTGGATAATATAAAGTTCTACAAAATTATCAATAATACAGAAGATTGTGATCTTCAACACGATCTCGATCAGTTGAGTAGTGGTGTGTGTTGGATGCAATGGCCCTGAATGCATCCAAGTGTCATGCTGTTTTTTTTTTTTGGATGATCGAGAGACCCAATGGAATATAATTATAATATACAGAACATTCTTGTTCACTGGTTTACTGAAATTCATGATCTGGGAATTAATTTAGACACTAAACTTTTATTTGAATCGCATTATATGTCAATAATTTTTAAGTCTTTACAAATGCTTTGCTTTATAAAAAGATTCACTAGAGACTTTTAGAATATGGAAGCGATTAAATTACTATATTGTTCTTTAGTCAGACCTCATCTAGAGTATTGTTAACATGTATGGTCTCCATCTTATAATATTTACATATCAAAAATGCAGACAATTCAACACAAGTTCTTGAAATATGTAGCTATAAACAGGGTATACTTTTTAAATTAAATCAAGTAAATTATGATCAAATTGAAAACCAACTTCACATTCTCTCATTTTTAGGTTCCTCTTTACAGAACCAACTATGCATATAATAATTATTTAACTCGACTACTAAGATGGCCAAATATTCACCCAGATCTAGATTTTTTGCACCGAAGGCAGAATTTATTTCTGGTCTCAAGCATGTGTTTATTTGAGTGGCTGTGGAATAGGTAATCATCATTTCGATGTATAAAACTAAATTATGTGATTAAGTATGTGATATTTAGTAAGTTGGTATATTAATAAGTTCGTGTCAGTATTGTATCACCGAAAAGTTATCTAGTTTTATAGTTTCATAAAGTTTAGTTTCATAAATCAGCTATTGTATGCAAGTTATTGGCATCCAAAATATGTTGTAATTATTTAAATATACTTGTTAAAACGTTCTTTTCGAATCTTTCATTTGTCCAAGTCTTCTGGGTGGTCCTTCAAAGAAGCATATAAAGTGAACCTATTTCCCTAAGGAAAAACCTTGTTCCCCAAGGGAAAAAACCAGCGACCTATGACTGGTGTGCGAAACAAAGCCATCAGGACAAGGTGTAAGGACAAACACACACATCTTCACTCAATATATATATATATATATATATATATATATATATATATATATATTTATATATATATTTATATATATATATTATATATATATATATATATATTATATATATATATATATATATATTTATATATATATATATATATATATATATATATATATATATAAATATATATATTTATATTTATATATGTATATATATATATATATATATATATATATATATATATATATCTATATATACATATATATATATATATATATATATATATATATATATATATATATATACATATATATATATATATATATATATATATATATATATATATATATATATATATATATATATATATATATATATAATTCAAGAAATCAGAAAATTTTGGGTATATAAAAAACTTTTTTCTGACCATAAACTGTTCTGTATATCCACTGAATAGATTGGTTATGAAATAAAAACCTGAAAATTTTAACAGAAGAAAGGAACAAAGGACACGCCTAGGACTAAAGAGAGAAACAAGCTTGATACTATGGAAAGACAGCATATCTATAACACAGAAAAAGGAGTGAGGAACAAGAAGCAATGAAGAGTAATGTCTAATAATTCTGAAGTGTACTAGTTTGATAATATTAATATATCATATATTTCACCTTACTGTTCCATTATCAATCAGACAGAAACATTTAATGACATATTAGTGGTGATAGATGGAGAGAATTAAAACAAAACTAGATTTATTTAAATATTAGTTTTACAAACAAATGCTAAAAGGTAACAAAGTAAACAATAGAAGCAACATGTAGGGTAACAAAGAATTTAAGTAAAGTTACAATAACAGTATTGTCAAAATTGAGGACATAATTCAGACAAATAAAATAAGGCTTGGCCATCAATAAGAACTAAATGAACAATTCAATCAAAGGAAGTTCAAAAGGAAATATATCACAAATAAATGGATAATAATTCATAAGGAAAAACATCATCTGTTAAAATATTAAGTTAAACAATTTATAATGTGAAATATTTCTAGCATATTACAATCGCAATGAAAACTTTATAATGATAATATACTAATTTTAAATATCAAGCAGTTCAATATTTACCTTTTTGGCCTTCGATTTCATTTAAAAAATTGGAAGTGGATGTTCTAATTACAAGTTTGAAATCATCTTTGTGCCACAAAAAGTTTTTGGTATATTTATGAATTATTTTATTGGTTTTATCCAATAGGGCAGTTAGAATATTTTCTTGTTCCTGCTCATCGTGGGTTTCTATTTGTGGAAATATGAAATATTCTACAAAATCGTCCTCACGGACAGTTTCAAGAACGTTAGTCATCCCAGCCATTTCAAAAAATGAATGCAAAACAACGACAATGAACATGAACAAAAACAAATAGCACTAACATGTCACAATATTAGACAGTTGACAATCTTCAAGCTGAAATCGAAATAATATTTTAAGAATCGATTATTTGGTTAATTGAAAATTTCTACATTTTAGCACCGATACACTCGGTGACAGAACGATGTGATTTTATAGTATGGAGGATTTTTGTATACATATTATCGACCGGTTTATACTGTAATTAACAATAACTTCGACTTCAAAAAACTATTGCAGTGTTCCTCAATATTCATCCTATTATAATTCACAAAAAAAATCCATACATAAGTTTCCGCTGGACGAGAATATGAAAAAAGTTTGGCAATGCATTTTGTGAATTGGCAAACATATAACCATTCATCTAATTTACATACCGATGCACGTCATTATCTACGTCAGAGATCGGAGTCGACATAGTTGCCAAAGTATAAAAAAAATCCTGACTCCATTTTAAACGAAATAGATCACATAATTATTGCAAAAGTATTACTATCTCTTTACAACGACTATTTAAATTCTTACGTGACATTTTTGAAATAAAACACACTAATTTTGTTCTAAAAACCACAGATTTTATTAAATAAGTAAAAACATAAAACAGAGGTATTCACTTTAAAATTCAAAATAATAAAGTACAAAAAGTGTCAACACCGCAACTGTCAAATAAGTGTTACCAATTTTTGCCAAAATTTCACCTTCGTTTGATTAAATCTAATGAGAATTTTTGTGTTGTTAAGGGTGCTTGTGTTGAATTTAATTTAATGTTTTGTTTAATAATTCTGGTTCCTAATAAACAAAAATCAACTCATACTACCAAGCTCTTCATGGAACGCAGCAATACTTTTAAATACTGCCTTGCGGGAATAAAATGATTCTTCTGATCCATTACTTTACAATAACTACAAAAACTTATGAAACTAGAAATAAGGACGAACATTTTCAGTTGATTTATGGGCATGCACTTGACTCACTTGCCCTACGAACCACCTAGAAGTGTGGTCATAGGATTTTTTGACCATCCAGTTTATCGGTTATGTCCTTTTTTTGTGCCTCGGTTGACACCGCGAGGAGCAGATACAACTCTACTCCATTGGCTACAATAATTAAATATACTATATTTCAAGAGGTAATTTTTTTCTTTGCATAGATAACAGCAATGAGTTAAGCCAGCTAATTTTCGTAATATTTAAATTAACTGCTTATTTATTTACAATCAGAATATTGCATTTTTTCTTCATCATTATTCTAATTTGATTTAACCAGCGACCTCTAAGTTTTACACAAAACTTTTGGCCACTTCGAGACGGATAATAAATAATTAAAACTTTTTTAAATTTATAAATTTAATATTGATCGATCCTTCGATTTTTTTACATTATTTTAAGCTTAACTTACATAATTAAATTTGATCATATTTTCATAACAATTTTAAAATTTATTTCTCCTTTTAATTCATAATATCAGTAGGTACTTTTATACATATTGATTATACATACGTATATATATATATACTATATATATATATATATATATATATATATATATATATATATATATATATATATATACAGTATAGGTAAAAGTTTATGGTCGGTATGGACCTTATATGAGATGGAGTGAGAAACAACTGTTTAAAAAGAGAGAGATATATTAGGTGTCCGCCTTTTATATCACCGAACATAAATGAGTGGATATGGAGTGGATATAATAAAAAGGGGAAATTCAACGTTGCCAAACTTATTGGTTTTATTTGACCTGTTGTCTTTTTCGCATTTGAACAATGCTCCAAGATAATGAAATTTGGGCGAAATGGATTTAAATGGCAGCTTATTGTTTTTTATTGGGAATATGCCACAATTTTACTTTACAATAAGTGTAATATAACATTTTGATTTATACTTCGGAAGTCGTTTTATATAAATAAAATTTATTAATGTTTGGTATTTTAAAAACGATTTCCGAATTAAAAATCTAAACATCAAAATAAGCTTATTTTAAAGTGACATTATGCCTTATTTCCAATAAAAATATTAAACTGCATATAAATAAAAAAGCTTCGTACAAAACTATTTGCCAACGTGGCGTGTAGCGTGGTCAAATCACCGAATCAAAGGGTAAACAGGTATTTACGAATAGAGGTGGGTCATTGACGTCGCAAAACCGATTTTCGTAAACAAGTAACTATGATTTTCTAATAGTAGTTTCAAGTAAGAAACTACCTACATAAACAAACATATTGGCTATTATCGTTTATCTGTATATTTATTGAAGTGAAGGAAACTAATAAAATATTTTATTATAACTTGAAAACTATACTAAACAATACAAATAGTAAATCGTACCTACGTTTACATTACACGTTATTATTAAATCACGAATCGTCTAAATTGACATTTAAAAACATAAGTTTTTTTACTTTACTTCTTATTAATTGTGTTTTTCTTTTATTTAAAATTAAACCTGATTTTGAACATGTGTTCACATTTACAATACTTTATGAATATAGTGGTTAAGTTAGGAGATACATGGCGATGGTTTTTTCACCATTGTAATGGACTCTCGCTACAAGTGTACGTTTAGATGAGTCATGTCCAATTAATTGATCAAAAATACACCATGGACTTAAATCATCTTTATCGGTTTCTTTTTCTTATACTGGTTGATTTTCAATAGTACAATCTTCTTGTTCTTTAATTATAGAAGTAACCAGCTTCTTAACTCTTTCTTTTGTTTTTTTAGCGTCATTTTTATCAGAAAATCCCTGCACTTTAAATCGTGAATCCATAAACGTACATAATGACAATATGCCACTGTATTCTATCCCTCTAAATCTTTTTGCTAAACCCGAGATTAGTAATTATCCCGTAATTAGTAATAAAAACCCGTACTACGTCGGATACTAACTATGGATGTAAGGTTACTGTTTGCTAAAATTTTATTGCAAGATTTTTGCAGGCAGCGTACCAGAACAATCACTGAACTATCATTCAAGTATTTTTGGCCACTCATTGTACCTGTTATTTCTTTAAAAGGCCGTAAAATTTAGGACAATTACGAAAAAATAATCCAGTCTTCATTATTTAGATTTGGTCTAAGTCTGTATTAACTGATACCAATGTGGAACGGATTGCCTCTTCTAACTCCGTCATTCTTTCTAACATGTAATAGGTGAAGTTCTACCTAGTTTCCACGTCTTAGATTGGCCGTTTGGGATCTTTGTTATGTTGTAATTGATACTTTAAAGGCGTTTCTGAAGATAAGGTACTTTTTTGAAATGTGTTTTTTGCCGAATTGTCGAAAAAAAGACTTTTTATTTTATCTATTTGTACACGACAGCATTTAAGTGCGTCCTCCATCAATAAATTTAACGTATGAGCAAAACAATATAAATGTTTTCATTCCAAAGCATATTTAATAGCTATGACCATATTTGAGGCATTATCAGTTACTGCAAAATTTACTTTTTGTTTTAGACCCCCTGAATAATAATTTCACTAATTTTAAAAGCGATGTTTTCTTAATTATGGTTTCCAGAAAAATGGCAGCAGTCTAATTAAACCGTGTTAAACTCTAAATTTTCGGTTAAATTCGTTAAAATCAACTAGTTGATGGTTGAAGCTGGTTACTACTATTAAAAAAAAGAAAAAGAAGATTATACTATTGAAAATTGACTAGTACAAGGAAAAGAAACTGATAAAGATGACTTAAGTCCATGTAAATGTAAGTACTACTACTAAGTATTGTTTAATTTATTTTTCAAGTTATAATAAATATATTCTTCGTTAGTTTCTTTCACTTTAATACTTATACACATAAACGATAATAGCCAATATGTTTGTATACTCGCTAATTTGAATACTGGTAAACAATCAACTAGTTACAGTTTACGAAAAACGGTTCCGATAAAAATTTAAAAAACTAAAGGACCCACCTCTAGTTTCTTAGCTTTATGAGGATCGGAACCACAGAATATGTAAAATATCTCTGATCGGAACTAATCGTCTCACTAACAGGCAAAATGGGCGTCAAGAAGATTTATGGAGGGGAGACCAAGGGGGAATATGATTGTTATCTTTGTCTATTCGCTGAAAATATGATTTTATATCTGTGTTAGATATCCTGTTAAGTTTTACCATACCGACCATAAAATTTTACCTACACTGTATATATATGTATATATATATATATATATATATATATATATATATATAATATATATATATATATATATTATATATATATATATATATATATATATATATATATATATATACTATTGTGATATTCAAAATCTTCAAAAGTGCGCCAAGCAATTAATTAGCTAGATTTTGGAGAAAATGTGTGATCCTGTGATTCATCCAAAAATGGCTTCTATGTTCAAAGACGCTTCGTATTGCGCGATTGTGTGCGAATTAATGTTTCTTGCATCTAAACATAATCGCAACTCACCATTTGATTTTTTTACGCATACTATCGGGTTGATATATGGAGAGTCACATCTTTCGATCACCTTGTCTTTGATCATATTTTCAATTTACTGTCCGATGCTTTGCCTATATTTATACGGGGTTGGATATGTTTTCGATTTAAAATTTTTTAAGTTTTTATCTTTAAAAGAATGTTCATAATTTTTAGTCACTCGGCTTTCTTCATTAATAAGATCTCCATAATTTTCTAAAATCTTCTCTATTTCCTTCTCCATATTTTCTCCACATTTTATTTTTCTTTCATCCTCAGTTTGTTCACATGTGTTCACTGTCCATATTATTTCTTCACAAAATTCTGGATTCTCGTCCATAATTGCCATTGAACTTTCGATTTATCCTCTACCGTCATATTGATTTCTTTATGTTTTTCCTGTCCATTTATCCTTTCAGAATTTTTTTTCCTATCTGTTTCCTTTTCTTCTTCTGTGTTGTCTGGTTCTGCTCTGATTTTCATTTGATTTTCCGAAAAATTGATGGTGATATGTTTTTTATTCAATTCATCAATTCCCGCTATCATATCATGATTTAGATCTTC